CCACAGCGTCTTTTTCTACAGATGGGTAATTAATTTCACTATTGCCTAATGTTTGAGACATAAAGACAACTGGACGACCATTTTGATTCAAGGTAGCTGATACCGCTACATGTGATGCATCACATTCAACAACAAAAGGTAAGCTCTCATCAATAGAACTCAAAGTGGCAGCATGAAGTTCTCTTTTAAGAAATTGAAATGCTTTAAGTGCCTCACTATTGATAGGAAAAGATTTAACATTAATTGTAGGTCGAACTTTATTAGCAAACAAAGGTATCCACTTTGAATAGTAAGAAAACATACCCAAAATTTGCCGAAGTGATAAAATGTTAGAAGGAGGAGGTAGTAAGTCTAAAGGAGGTAATTGCTCAGAATCTGGTTTTATGTTGTTATGACTAACGCAATAACCAAGAATGTTTATAGAAGAAGCTGAAATAACCGATTTTGATTCATTTAAAGTTAGACCCCAACGTTGTGAAGCGTCTTGAACAATTTTTATCATGATGTGCCTGATCATAACCACCAATGGTTATATTGTCAAGATATTGAAAAGTGCCATGTAACTTTTCTTCTTCAACAAACTTGTCCATAGACCTTTGGAACATAGACACACCATTAGTAACTCCAAATGGAATCCTGCAAAATTGAAATAGTTTCCCATTTGCCTCAAATGCTGTATACTTTTTGTCTGAATTTTTAATAGGGATTTGGTGGTAAGCACTTTTTAAGTCAAATGTAGAGAATACTTTGTACTTTGCAAGTCCATTTATCATATCATCTATTCTGGGAAGAGGATATGCATCTAACTCAGAGTAAAGGTTAACTGTTTGAGAGTAATCAATACAAAGTCTTTTTTTGTTAGATTTAGTAAGATCCTTTACGACCACTACCTGGACTCTCCATGGTGAGAAACTTGGCTCAATTATACCATCCGATAATAACTGTAATATTTCACTTTCAATAAAGTTTCAATCATCATTATTATATCTTCTTGATTTTGTAGCTATTGGCTGAGTTTTGTCTGAAATGCTTGTAAACAAGGATGGTATTTTTATTTTTGCTATTTGCAGTGCACATAGGTTACTTTCCTTTGTGACAATTAAGTCTTCTTTTTCTTCACCGAGTGGGAATATTAAATTTTTGTGTAGTTTTTGGGACTTGTAACCAAGTATGATATCACTACAAAGATTTTCTAAGACACCAAATTGAACATTATTATAAAATAAACCATTTACTTTAAGATTAACCGAACAACAGCCCACTAATCCAGACTCCATTGTTGTGAGGGCCATCAAAATTTTCTTTTTACTGGGTAACATTTTAATTTTTAAAGTCTCGATAATTTTCTTGCTTATAAAATTATCTGAGCTACAGAAATCGATTAGTGCAGTTAACGGTTCATCATTAATTCTGACAATAACAGTTGCATAAGAGAGGCTCAACAGACAACCACTTGAAACAGTACACAAACTTGGTTTATGTATTGCAGCTGAAACACTGTGGGTTATATTCATCGGCCTGCCAAGACAAACTTTGGAAAAATCACCTTTTTTTCCACATTTAAAACAGGTTACATTTTGAGCTGGACAATTTTTCCTAGCAGAGGTTTGATTACGTTGGTTGTGAGATTGATTACCACAACAAATGCATTTTATTTGAGGATTAATAGTCATAACATTGAGTGTTGCTGGGGGTTCTTCTGGTAATTTTATAGCGGCAACAATATTTAAATTGGAGGAAAGGGAGGATGTTTTCTGCATATAAGAATCTGAGTTTCTTTGAGCAATGTCAAGAGAATGAGCTTGGTTAAATGCTGATTGCAAATTCAATGTTGAATTTTCAAGAAGTTCTTGAGGAATGTAATTCGAATTTATTCAAGAAATAAAAGCATATCTTATTTGTTCCTCTCGATATTGTTCAGCTGAAACAACCTTGTAATTACAGTTTTTACTGAGTTTACGTAGTTCCTGAAGAAAGTCTTCTAAGGATTCACTCGATGTTTGATGTCTTATAAGTAATTGATGCCTTGCAAAAATTTCATTGAAGAGTTATGAGTAAACCTAGGTAAAAAAAATCAACATTCTTAACAAATACAATGTAATTTTAAGTAAAACTACAGTTTAGCTTTACCAAAATAATTTCATTTTATTGCTTGTTGTGCTCTTGTTAGCGGAAAGTTTTTAAACATAAATTTTAATTGAAATAATAAAAGAAAATAGATTACTGCCCTATGCTAAATCCTTAGTCAATGTAGCAGCAATTCCTTGAAAAGACAGGCTATAAAATAGTCGATGCAACACTCCCTTGTAGTAACAGGCTATAAGATAATGGATGTAGCAGCACTCCCTTGTAGCAGCAGGCTATAAAATAATCAATGTATATACTAAAGCCAATAAATATTATTTATGTTTATATTAAAAAGTCTCCACTTGGTGGCCAAACCACTGCCCGCGAGCAAAAAAATACCCGCAGAGACTTTTTTAAATTTTTAATAAATTTGGATATTTAGTAGACAACCATCTTGGTAATGTGATATTTTGGTCTACCTCAAAAATCAAAAAACTAGTTTCAGACGATCTAGTTCACCACTTTTAATAATTATATTGCTTTCATACAAATCATTATAACAGTTATTAGCCACCTATATTTTTGTAAAAATAATTTTTTTTTGCTCGCAAAATTGTTTTTTAACTTTTTTTTGCCCGTATCCTAAAAAGTCTGGCCATCCCTGACTTTGAGAAAGTCTCAACACGAAAGCCGCAACAAGTGTTAAAAGAGAATTATTTTAGATCGCATATCTGAAGCTTTGCCTAATTTTATTTGCAGTATTCACTTATGTAAAGATTTCTAAAAGTTTCGGAATATTGTGGTACAAAAAGAGTTGCTACCCGTTTTGAGCAACAAACAAACTCTTTTTTCAAAAGGCTCTTTTTTCATCAAATATCTTATAGGTTAATATGTTATATGTTATAAAAATATATTATGTAGCCACAATGTTGAGGTCCAGGCTTTCACTTTTAATCTTGAAGGTAAAAACTGCATTAATATAAATCTCATTCCGGCTGGAATTCAGGCCAGAATATTTTTAACAATTCCGGCAAATCTGGTTCTGGCTGAAATTCAAAATTTCCAACCCGGTACACCCCTTATTATTTCCAGAGTTTTTTTTGTATTGAAAAAATACTATGTGATATGATGCAATTATATTGATGACATTGTTGCAATATATCTTGACATAATCTGATATACAAAAGCAAACATTTCTAATTTACAGCTAGCCTTGAATCAAAGCAAGTCAACTTTTGCCTCAAATGAAATCAAAGTTTTGATTGGAAACTAAACAAAAATGAATTTACATACTTCATACTAGTTAAGTTTATGGAGTTTTTAACAAATAGTTACTGAAACAATCAAACAATTGATCTTTAATTTAAAGTAAAATTTTAGTAAATTTTACAGCAATTTTAAAAACATTTTTAAATTAGTTGCTTTGTACACAAGCATTAATGGTATACAAATGCTGTTATTACTTACTCTCACCTGCCAAGTAAACGGGGGGAGGATAAGAAAGGGTTAGGTTGACATTTAATGTTTTAGCTTTTAGCTTCAAGACTTCCCATTTATCAATTTAGAAGAAATGAAAATAATTTTTTTGTTTTAAGAAATAATTTTTTCTTTCTTTAAATGTGTTTAACGATAAACTAATTCATAACATTAAAAGCGTTGAAACACGCTTGTCCATCATTGATAAAAACGTTGAAACATGTCTCTCCATTATTGATAAAAATTTATAAAACCAACTAGAACTAGTTCCAATGTATTGGTAAAATGATAAACAGTTTATAACTGTTAGTAAAAACTAATTATCTGTTGTTTTTGTTAATTTACTGGTTTAATAAATAGTGAAAATCCACTGTAAAAATAGTAATAGAAACCAATACTTTATAATACGCAATACATATATATATATATATATATATATATATATATATATATATATATATATATATATATATATATATATATATATATATATATATATATATATATATATATATATATATATATATATATATATATATATATATATATATATTAGGGTGTCCCAGCCGCACCTTATATTCTAAAAAAGATCTGTTCATATTCTTAAAACTTTCTACTGGTTCTCACAAGCAACTCTGTTAAATTTTTTCAAAATTTTATTGGATTTAGGGGAGCACAAGACCTTTTAACACTTACCAGGTCCCTAATAATATTAAAAAAAAAATTTCGAAATTACATAAAAATTTTAAAAATAACAATTATTTAAAAAAAAAATTATTATATAGTTTTTTTTTGGAATAATTAATGGAAAAATACACTTTTTTTATTTTTAGGTCAAAAAAGGTCATTTTTCTGCAAAAAACTCTAAAATAACAATTTTTAATTTTATAAAATGATTGTTACTTTTGAAATTTTTATATAATTTCGCTTCTTTTGAGACCCAACATGACATACTTTTGAGGAAAAAAATTTTTAACATTATTAGGAACCCAACAAGTGTTCAAGGGTCTTGTACTCCCCCTAAATCCAATAAAATTTTGAAAAAATTTAACAGAGTTGCTTGTGAGTTGAACAGAGTTGCTTGTGAGAACCAAAAGAAAGTTTTAAGAATATGAACAGATCTTTTTTAGAATATAGGAGGCAGCTGGGACACCCTAATGTATATATATATATATATATATATATATATATATATATATATATATATATATATATATATATATATATATATATATATATATATATATATATATATATATATATATATATATATATATATATATATATATATATATATATATATATATATATATATATATATATATATATATATATATATATATATATATATATATATGTCCTATATTTGACATAGATAGATATTTTGCATTTATGGTTCTTCTTTGTTTAAAACAAACTCTTTGTGTTTAAAGTTAAAAAATATATATTATACCTAGGTATCAAAATTATTATGGTAACTGGTGACCATCCTACAACAGCAAAAGCTATAGCTAAAAATGTTGGCATTATATCAGATGGAAATGACACTGCTGAAGACATAGCAAATAGGTTATTTATATCAATTGATCAAGTCAATAAATATGAAGTAAAAGCATGCGTTGTCAATGGTGGTATGTTTTTAAATATTTTCAGTAAAAAATGTCACAATTATTAAAGAAATTTTTTTTTAGCATTAAAAACTTTGTTTTTATTTCAAACAAATATACATGAACAAATGTAGTAAATAGACTTTCTCGTGTTTTTAAAACCTTGTAAAAAACATACTCTTATTTTGTATGTTTTGCTCTGTTAATAGTATATATAGAGAGTTAAACTCTGTATATATACTATTACATACTATATCATTATTGAAACATCAAGAAGACACAAAAATTCATTTAAAGATATCATCTGAAAGAAAAATCAAATTTGATTTTTGTTGTTTTGAATTATGAAAGAAAAAATTACAAAATATTAATAAATTTTAACTTAAAAAACAAGAAAAATTATAAAATTTAACATTCATAATAATTTACATCAATATTTGTTACAATTCGGTTTTTTAAAAAAAAATTCTTAAAAAAATGTAGGATATATAAATATATTAAAATTATAAATATATATTAAGATATATAAATATATAAGAATTATAAAAAAGTATAGAAATAATAATTATAGAGCAAGATGAAGTTCAACAGAAAAAAAACCTTTTAATCAAATTTTAAATAAAATAGAATAAAATTGAAAATAAAAATAAGGAATTTCTAAAATTTGAGTTTTTATGAAAAATTTGATAAATAAAAATATTTTGAGTAAACAGTTGCAACTATTGTTACTATAACTACTGTAATAATTATGGCTGTTATAGTAACTACAATGGCCGTATTAACTTGAGTAGGTGTAGCAGTAGTTTATAGTAACTTTAGTAGTTTGAGCAGTAGTTTATTCTTTAGAACATAATAAAAATAGCAAAAGTATCAATGATAAGAGAAGTCACTGAAAAATACTATTGGAGGTAATGTTGAATAAGTGAATGTAATTATTAGCATGATTAAGCATAAGTTGAATTATTATTCTTGTATATATTTTGTGTTTTTACTTGAAGTTAGTAATTTATAAAAAAATTTTCTTGTTACACCCATTTTTAATTGATGAGATCTTTTTTTTTAAAGGCTGAAAAACTTGCGAATTTCTTCTCAATTTATTTTTGATCAATAGTAATTCTTTTTTGGATAAATGCAGAGTAATCCTTTGACTCTTTTTGTGACTAAAATTATTTCTTACTTAAACAATTGTAGGGCTTGTGGTCCTTGAAAAATGTCTGCCATTGTTTTGCAAAAATGCTTTCTGAAATTTAAATCTCACAAAACAATTTTAACAATGGCTTTTCTAAAACTCTTTTTTTGGTAAAAATTTGTTTTTGCTCTTTTAGGGCCTTTTTAAACTTTTTTCTTTATTTCCAGTAGCTTTTACTGTACCGTAATGTTTCCTTTTTGATCCCATATAATTTCTTATTTACCTTAATATCATTACTGACAACATTACCAAGTAGTTTTATTTGCTTATGTTTTGACTGTTTATTCATGTCCTATTAAAATGTCTCCACTTATTGATTGCATAGAATAGATAGCTGATTATAAATATGAGCTCACTTCATGAATAAAAGTTTTGAGCATATAGTATTTTTTTGTTGTACTTGCAGTGGTTAATAAATTTTAACCCGAAAATTTCAGTGGAAGAGAACAATTAAGCAGTTTAATAAAGTATATATTTAAATGAAAAAGAAAAGTAAAATATACAAAATAAAAAAAAAGTGAGCACAAAAAATTTATAAAAATATAAACACTAATTAGTAATTGAATAAAATCATTCATTGGGGTAAACCAAGTGCTTGTTTGATATTTAACTTTTTAATTTCATGCAGAATAATTAAAAAGCATTAACAAATTACACACATATATTTTTAAATATTGTAATTATTTCTGCAGTCCCTTTTCTAATCTAGTTTTTTTGAATTGTTTTCTTATTTCTGCTTTATATGGTTTTTAGTTAGTTTATAATTGAAGTTATTATAAAATATTAAGTTAACTATATATTTTAGAATTTTGAATGTAGCTTAGACTGAAATAAAATCCTTATTATCTTAATTAAATTTTAATTTTATTGTTATAATAAAGCCCTTATGATAAAAATCCAATTTGTGATTCTTTTGAGAAATTAGTTTAATACAAGCTCTAAAATTTTTTACTCTAGAATATAAAGTGTTATTTGTATATAAAATGTTTCAAACTATAAAATTTCAACCCTCTCTATGATGGCACAACATGGGTAAGAAGAGTTTTTGTTCAACAAAAAAAACTTTATTTTTTTTTTATTGTTTTATAAGTGTTCTTAGACAGCACTCAGAAATTGTTACTCACATATAAATATCTTTAAAATATAAAAAAATGTAAAAAAGATATCAAATTCAAACCTAAACAAAGTTAGTTTAGGCACAAATCAGACTACAACTTAAAGTCCATATTGAATTTTTATGGGTAGTGATTTACAGGATTCTACTAAACCTTGAACAGATTTTTTGGTTATTTAAATTTTAAACTTCATAAATAATCTTTATACTTAGTTCTTAATTATTTTGAAAAAAAAGTTTTGTTATAAAATCAACTTTATTTATACAATTAGTTTAATCTATAAATGTGTATAACTTTTTAAAAATATAATTTAAAAAGTGTGTGCCTTAATTTAAAAAAATTTACACTGGCTGAGTACACTTCTCTAAAAAATCGAAGGTACATTATTAATATTCTTTATAAAGAAACATACTGGAATATGGATTTGAGTTAAATTTTTTTGATCTCAGCCAGCTGAAAAAACTAAAGCAGTTGTTACAGAAAAAATGGATAAATTGGGTTAAATATTTATGGCAGCATTGTCTGTTTAGTTTCAAATGAAGCTTCTACGATGGTCAAGTTTAGAAAACTGGTTCTATCTAAGTATAAATGATTTATTCAATGTTGCACCTATGGAATCCATTTGCCAGTTCAAGAATTGAACTGTTGATAACAACACATAAATAGTAAAAAGCAACAAAAATAAAAATAGCAGTGACAAATCCAAATCTGACACCAAAGTTAGTTTCAAAAACCTCCACTCAAAAACAATGTCCTCTGGTAATAAATCAAGAAACAGTACGAAAAAGAGGGTTTTTTTATCCTTGATTGCAGGATTGGTTCTAATCGATTAGTCTATTGTCAATGATTTAACAGTTTCTTAAAGTTGAAAGTTTAATTAGAAAAATATTGAAAAATGTTTCTCCACATTTGATAAAGGAAACATTTTATACAACACTGTTGCTGCTCTTCAATCAGTCAAATAGGCAGCAGAAGTCTTTTGCTGACAAGATGAAATTTTTTTTACTCATTCACTCATTGCATTATAATAAAGAGTGCTATTTAAAGACGTTTTGTAAAGAGAATGCAGAGCAATCTTGTAAGTTTGTACAAGTACCTTTCCAATCTACAATGTTTATCTAAAAATAAAGAACATGAAGTTTTCAAAATGTCTTTGAAGTTTGTACTTCAAAAGACTGAGAAAACTTTGCTGTCTATACTTTTCTCAACAAATCCACTTTAACTTAGAGATAAACTCAAGGAAGCAATTCAACATTCAGCCAAAAAACAGTGCCATAGTTTAAACTATGAATTCATTTAACTAAAGTTATTCATTTCATTAAATGTGGTAGTGGTGTAGTGGTAGAGTGCTTGCCTCATAAGCAAGAAGTTCCGAGTTCAATTACCACCACATTCCTGGTAGTACCGCGCTCAACTTGTTTTTCTGTGCAGCAGCCTTGTTTGTCGAGGCTCGTGTTTTGGAAGCAAATAGTTGAGAGAGGATTGTAACCACAAAAGCAGAGGTGTAGCAATGGGGGGAGGCCGGTGGGGCATTTGCCCCGGGCACCACTCTAAGGGGGGCAGCAGAAAGGGGAAAAAATAATACAAATAAATGAATTCACAACTCAGATCCAGAGCCAACAACTGCTCAGTGACTAACAGTCAAACGACTACAAGATCCCACAATGAACGTTAAAGATGCAGCATCTAATATGGAAATGTTGGAAAATTATCTCAAAGAATTTCGTGTTCATTTATGCCAAAATGCAATTGAGTATAGCAAGGGCAGATGTATTAAATGGGAAATTTAAGTTGAGAGGAGAGTCAGGCAACGGCGAATAATACCAGATGAATGGGCTAGAGATAGTGGCCTCTCTGCTTAAGATGAAGTTAGCAGAGTTTTGATATTGGATTGTTTCCAACAAGAACTAACAACTTACTTTAGATAATTAAATAATCTCAATGAAAAATTTGGATTCTTGCTCAAAGTGAGAATATTGTTAAAGAGGGATGGTGATAAAAATCAAGAAAGTCTGCAACAAAAATGTTAGGATCTGGAAAACTTTTACAGTACAGTGGAGTATTGAAAGTACTGAAATCACAGACTGCCAGATGCTGTTTAAATCTCGTGGGGGCACAATATCATCAACTCCACTGGATTTACTTTCATTTATTTTGTCATACAGAGATGATGTTTTTCCAAACTTACACATTGCATTACAAATCTTGCTCACAACTGCAGTGTCAATAGCCAGTTGCTAAAGTTGCTTCAGCAAGTTAAAGCTTATTCTTTCATATCTAAGAGCTTCAATGGGGCAACAACATCTTTTTGATTTGGCAATTCTTAGTGTTGAAAAATAAACTTTAGAATCAACAGACTTTGACAACATAATAGATAAATTTGCTGCATTTAAAGCTAGAAAGATCAAATTATAATTTATAAATAGTTATTGATTATTGGATCTGATTGACCAATGTCACTTTCAATGACTAATTCACATGAAAAATAATGGATACATAATTGGAAACATGAGTTAAATTGAGTTTGCATTATGATTAGCATTTGCATTTTTTTAAATAAAGTTGACATATACTTGGAAACATTAAGTTCTTTTTTTTTTATGTCTGCTTCAGGGGGGCGCTAATTTTCAGTATTGCCCTGGGCGCCTGAAACCCTAGCTACGCACCTACACAAAAGTAGCCTCCTTGACTGTAGTGGCCTTCTCGGACTTGGATAGGTG